TTTTATTAAGAGTTTTATTCAAATTTCTTTTTTTTTTAAGTACAATAAGGGAGGCTATCAAAGCCTAGAGAGGAATCGAATGCGGAGAAGCCACCCCCATCTATTATGGTGGAGCTAAAGTCCAGCCCCCGACAGAGGGCTGTCTAGTCGGAATAGTCCACACGGCCCTCTTGCCGCCAACATCGCAAGATAATCGGCCACAACATTAGCTTCTCGGTATGCATGGTGTATATCCACCACCCACTCGCGGCCCAAAAACTCTCTAATAAAAAAATTATATTATCTATCGACAATAATTAAAAATAATAAATTATTTATCAATTTAATAAAGTTATCTACCAAGTCAAAGTATCATTAGCTAAATAATAATAATAATAATAAAAATAATAATAAAACTTCTCTTTAGGTACAATTTTTCTATTCACTTGTGTAAGACATGAATGTTGTAATTAACTTGTAATTTATTTAATTACGACTTATCTTCTAATGGAGGTCATTAAAGCTCAAGGTAATAGACGTTTAGGCTTATCTTAAACCATATTAGGTTGCGTGTCATTTTGGTGGATTTTTTTTTTTTTTAATCCAAAAAAACATATTCTACTCTAAATATGAGTTCTTGAAAAAAAAAAAAAAATGCAAAACCAACTCTAATGGATAAGAATCTGTATATCTTTATTACAAAAAAAGTAGTATTATTTTTCAGGTCAAAGTTTACAGCTCGAACATATTTTATCCAATTTTATTATAATATATACCTTTCTTTTTTTCGTATAAAAAATTCGAGCACCAACATAAATACAATGGGTGCACTTCTATTTTTGTTATAATTAATCTTTATTAAACTTTAAAAGAAACCTTTTGTAACCTTTTTTCAAACATACGAGACGAAAATCAAGAACGCAAGAGGACTAAAATGTTTGAAGGGGTAAACATACAGAACAAAAAATACATTTTACTCTTAATTTTAATGTATATTATAGCATAGCAAGAGCTAAATTAGTTATATAATGTGGTCCATGAATGGAATTAATTTGTCTGTTTCACTGACTTCACATTCCCCAAGTCTCACTCATCCAAAAAAGTATATCCCAAACTAAAATCTACAAGACTTTTGTCCTTTATAAGCAATTTAATTAATAGTTTTATATCACCTAATTCAGGCCCCATCTTAGGTAACAAAACTCAATCAATTCTTTAATTTCTTCACCAAATTTGATTGAAGCCTTAATAAAACAACTTTTCCTATTTAATTTACTTAGTTATATAGAGACAAGGCTTAATAATATATTATGGAAAAAAATTTAACCCTTTTGTCTTTAAATGAAACTGGTGACTAGTGTGCAGGCAAGGACCAAGTCACCATGATAAAGTCACCATTGAATTCTTTATCATAGGACCAAGTAATAATTTATATAGATTCTCCATATATTAAATTATATTTTAATTATTTTGAGTATATAGAATTTAATAAGACATGCACACAGGATCAAACCTTATCCAGTAACTTTTTTTATCTCCCCAGACAAAGTAGACCTTAACATTAGTAAGCTGATCAACAAGCAAAAAAATCAAAAAA